GATCGTGGAGCTAGCTGGGCTCCCTCCACGGTAGGGCGACGCCTCGGTGTGGAGAGCTGGGGCTCGCTCTTGATGATGCGGCGGTAGGGAGACGAGATCGACACTGTGTCGCGGCAGCATCATGGCCTCAACGTGCGAGGCGCGGTTGCGGCGATGACCGTTAGGGTCGTGCCAAGCAGAGGGTTGGGTACGGCGGCCTGACATGGCACGGCTCGATCGTACTGTCGAAGAGTGTCGTGCCGAATATCTATAGTGGAAACATGTTTGAACAGTGCTAGAGTCCATGACAAGTTTAGAGACTTGGAATTGGAACTCAGAAAAGTTAAATTTGTGAACTGGTTGGCAACCTCTCCCAAATTTAGGGATGATCGATAGTATTCTTTCTACAATCGATAATGATACTGTGCGGACGTCCGTCTTGTCTGGACGGACCCGCACACGGAACGACTCACCGAGCATGCCCACAACTCCTTATCCCATCCCGTCTCCCCCGTGCCCACTCGCCGCTCCGCTCGCCCGCTTCCCCCCCCCTCTCCTCTGCACCCGCTCGCTGCCGTGCCGTGCTCCGGGCTGCCACCAGAACGGACGCCACGCCCGCGCACTAGGTCGTTGCCGCCCCTCTCTTCCTCCCTCATTCCCTCCCTCCCTCCGTGACCCCCACCGAAGACGAGGACGACAGTGGCGGCTCCGACGAGGTAAGTCGGTACTTCTCTGGATCTGAGCCCTCCTCCTCCTCTAGATTTGAGGGAAGCGGCGGTGGCTAGGGTTTCGGTGAGCTCTGGGGCCCTATTCCCTTATCCCTCTAGCAAGCTCGAAGGTAATAGGCCGAGGGCTGTTTTCGTACGCTTTTTTGTTGTTTCTCCCGTGTTGCAATGGATTTTTGGGATGTTGCAACAAATAATTTTCGAATGTTGCAATGGGATTTTTTGGGTCGTTGCAATAGATGTTTTTGCGACGCTGCAGTACTACTGCTTGAGATGTTGCAGTACATTATTTTCGATGTTGCAGTACATATTTTTTCAATGTTGCAGTACATGTTTTTCGATGTTGCAGCACATATTTTTTCGATGTTGCAGTACATATTTTCGATGTTGCAGTGCATGTTTTTAATGGTGCACTACATATTTTTGTGATGTTGCAGTATTCATATCCCAATGTTGCACTACATAATTTTTTTCATATGTTTGCAATGTTGCACTTGAAGTGTTTCGTGCTCTTTTGAGACGGGGGAGGGGTCGGGGAACGTGGTGCGTTGGGGAACGGGGGACAGGGACGCGGTGGGGAGTGGAGGACAGGGGCGGGTTCCGTTTTATACGTGGGGGAGGGGGACGAGCAGTTCCGGACGCACTCTTGCGCCGGACATCCGGACGCTAGAATCGTCGTTCTAGAATACAGGAGCACTAACAAAGCACTTTGGAATTTTTACTACTGGTAAAGACGTACAATTATTGGGTCCAGCTCCGTTCAAGCTCTTCAGTGGCCGCCCGGGCCAGCATGGTGGCCACCATGGTGGTAGTTATGGTCGGGCGGTGGGTAGTCGTTTACCTCAAAGTCCATCCTCGACACCGGCTTGCCCATATTTATCGCAGTCACAATCTCCATCTCCTGTTTTGGAACACAACAAAAGTCATCATCAGAATTACAGCCGCTACTTCAGCGGCCAGCTCTAGATGACAAATATATCCACCATCGATGAATTAGTTAACCTCTGTATTTTTCGCTAACAGTTCTGTAACAGGTAGGAAGGCAGGGTACGAGCCTAACTACAAGGGAGACCAGAGCAGAATAGCGCTAGAATTACTGAATTAGTAGAATAGTAGTAGTCCTCTACTTGTTGCTTTTAATATATTCCAGTAGGGATCAGCCCCTGATCCCTCCTGTTTCCTCAAAAAATTAGTAGTAGTACCTGAGAAGAAGTGAGCTTCAGAGCCGTCGGGTCCTGCTGCTGGCTCCCCAGGCGCAGGCTTCCTGCAATCGCACGAACGCATGCACAGACAAAATAATCAGCAACAGCTCGAGAAAGGAATCAGCGAAGGCCATGCATGACCGAGGCAACGAGCTGCTGGTAGCGACTGAGACTCACTTGGCATGGAAACGGAGGAGTACGGGTGGTGGGGGGGAGGGGGGGAGGGTGGGTAGACGAGGAGGCAGGACAGCACAAGGAGCACAAGGACCACGAGGAGCGGGTTCTCGCCGCGGCGCGCCATTCTTCCTGCTCGCTCGTGAGTAGGGCTGCAGGAGTATGTCACAGTCGCGAACTCAGAACGAAGGTGCCAGGAATCCTAAAACTACAATGGGAATGGGGTGACGCTGGAGTGGTGCCGGTGTTGCCGCGGGTTTTATAGTTGAACCACCGACCACGGCGTTGCTAGCTCACTGGCATACTCTCGCTCTGGCTAAAAGATAGGTCAACTAAAATGTCTGAATCTATTATCTATGTTACCTTCCTCTTTTTTATATTATTAGAAAGAGAAGAGAAGAGAAGAGATAAAGATAGAAAGTAGAGATAGGGATAGAGAGTAGCGATATACTCCCTCGTTTTAACTTTTTTTTACATCCACTTGTTATGTATCTAGACATATATTAAATCTGTTAGATGCATAGCAAAATAAATGTACCAAAAAATTCAAAGCGCCTTATAATAATTTGGAACAGAGGGAGTATAAAGATAAAGATAGAGATAGAGAGAAGCGATAGATATAGAGATTAATATTAGGTAGAGATATATAACTAGGTAATTTTGTGTCTACCTTATTTTTTAGAGAGAGAAAATACATTAGCGGTCCTTTAATTTAGGAGGGAGTGCCATCCAGCTCCCAAATTTCCATTTTTTTTATTTCTGAATCCCTAAACTTGTTTCAAGCTCTAGCACTAGTTCAGATGGATTCCCTCCTATGTCGGTCAGATAGTGCTCTATGCCTTTGGCCCAGTGGTGTTCGGACAACACTATACAACAAAGCCTTATCGAAGTGTGGATCCGGCTGCCGCCAAAGTCGAGGACAAGGAGCCCTGCTCGCCCATGGCTGGTGTGCGGACCTAAGATTTTACCACAGGGTATGCCACATAAAATATTTCTTACGCAATTTGATGAAATCATTTCTAATTTGTAAACCATATTCTAATTTGGTAAAAACCACGTGCATTAAATAACATGATAAGCCTTAAATTCAAAGATTAAGCTAGTAACTATGACATATTATGATATAAATAGTTCAAATGAAACAAAAATATAACCATAAAAGAGAATTATAATATTACATGTCTGACTTGTTTACCCACCGCTTTCTGATGTCATGAATGTCTAGATTATATCATCTTCATCCACTTAGAAGAAAAATATCCTGCTTAATGAATGTGACTAGACAACTAATGTTGGAGTGCAGATTTTGTAAAGGGGACATGACACTATACATAGCTACAGATTTCCATCCCATTTCATGGCGTATCTCACATGGCACAACAAGATGTGATGAAAAAATTGCAAAATAAAGGACAAAACATATTATTTATAGTTATAATATCTAGAGGGGATAAAAATGAAAAAATAAAAACAAAGAAACATTTGAGGTCTCATGGGACAAATCAAGAGGGAATGAAAATAGAAAACTAAAGGATGAATTATATTATATATAGTTAACTTTAAAGGAGACAAAATTAAATTTAAAACGACATTGTACATAGCTATTGATAAGTATAATGAAACGATGCCGAAGTGATATCACTTTCATTTGTCATTCCATTTCATGACATGTCTCACGGGCCACAATAACATCGGTCAAAAATAGAAAATAAAGGAAGAAATATATCATATATAGTTATGAATATAGAGAGGGGATAAAAGATCAGAAATTAAGAACTACTCGCAACTAAGGTTGCACAGGACACAAAAGATGGGATAAAAATAGGAAGACTAAACAAGAACTATATTATCTATAGTCAATTTTTAAAAGCGACACAAAAATGGAAAACAAAAAACAAAAATGAGACTGGAAAACAAAAAACAAAAATGAGGCTGACCATAAAAAAGGAAAATAAAAACTAAAATGAGACTGCAGGGGATTGAACCAGCGACCTCTTTCTTGCTCAAAATGCAAGATGCTTAACACTAGGCTAACAAAAGACAATGCTAACTTGGGTTGCAAATTATTTTATCCAAAATATGATAATACAGTGTTAAGTACAAGGCTGCCCCACAGGGTATGACGTGACCCACCTGACATACCTTGTGGGTCCGCTGTGGTCACCATCAGCCTTGGTTGTGGCCAAGCTTGGCAAGCGTGTGGAGAATAGGAGGGAGCATGCGGAGGCTAGCTTCCAGGACTTGGTCATGGTGGCAGTGCTCCTTCTTCTATTCGGAGGCACTTTAAAGGTTGATGGGCTATTGTTGGTGCTGGTGCTCGAGCTATGGCGGCACAACAGAGAGTGGCGGCGCCGCGGTGGCACAAGGGGAAATATATAGTAAAGAAGATGAGAGAGAGGGATGTCACATGAGCCCTACATCTTAGATGCACAATCAGTAGCTACGCTAGTGGTTTATCGTAAATAATGGTAATTTGAATCTCATCATGTGACCCGATTAGCAAGTTTAGGAACCTAGGTCTGTAATTTTGGAAATCAGGGACCCAAATGGCAGTTCATTTAGCAAGTTTGGAGACCTGTATATATATGTGTGTATGTGAATTTGGAATTTAGGACTTAGATGACACCGACGTATAAATTTAGGTACTAGACACAATATGTCAGATTCACATCAGCGCATGCCACGTATGTATATGGAGCAAGTTGAAACACGTTTGGACTAGTAGTGCTAGAATCCACGAGAAGTGTATGAGACCTAGAAATCAAAAAGTAAAAGTTTGGGATCTGGATAGGAACGTCTCCCAAATTGAGGGACTGGTAGTATATTTTAATAATCTTTCTAGAATACAGGAGCACTAGCAAAACACTTTGTAGTTTGTACTACACTGGTAAAGACGAACGATTATTGGGTCCAACTCCGTTCAAGCTCTTCCGTGACCTGGGTCATGGTCGTCATTGGCGCCGGGCGTTGGGTAGTCGTTTACCTCCATGTCCATCCTCGCCTCCGGCCTGCCCAGGTTCATCGCCGCCCCGATCGTCATCTCCTGTTTCCAGACACAGGGTCATCATCAGAATTACAGAAGCCACCTCAGCTCTAGATGACAAATATATATCCACCATCGATGAATTTAACCTCTGTATTTTCGCTAACAGTTCTGTAAAATCGATCAAGAGGGAACACAGCAGGCGGCAAGAAGGCAGGGCGCGCGGGAGATCAGAGCAAAACATCCGATTAGTAGAAGTAGAACTATACCTGAGAAGAAGTGAGCTTTAGAGCCAGCGGATGTTGCTGCTGGCTCCCTAGGCCCAGGCTTCCTGCAATCGCACGAACGCACATCAAAATCAGCAACTGATCGAGGAAGGAATCAGCGGGGGAGCCGAAGACCATGAACAACGGCACCGGTGGCGACTGGCGAGTGGCGATCGATCGAAACTCACTTGGCATGGGGACGGAGGAGACGAGGGGGAAGACAAGGAGGCAGGACAGCACGAGGAGCGACTTCTCGGCGCGGCGCTCCATTCCGCTGCTGCCCGCTCACGGTCGCGTGTAGGAGTATCTCACAGTCACGAACTCAGAACGAGGTACGGCGCCAGGAATTCTGAAACTGCGATGGGATGACGCTGGGTGGTGCCGTGGCCCGTGGGTTTTATGTATTTGGACCACCGACCACGGCGTTGCTGCTAGTATCTCGCTGGCATCCTCTCAGCTCTAGCTAAAAGAATAGGTCAACTAAAATGTCTGAATCTATGTTACCAGCTTTATTCTGAAGTGAAAATGTTCAACCTCTATTATATCTACCGTACAATTTGATTTGCTTTCTCAGCCACAACTGCTGCGAGCAGCACACCCGTCCGGTGGTTCCGCAATAACCACTGACAGCATGCCAATTGCCAACAAGTCGTCAGTAGATCGATGCGATTACAGCTAAGGATGTACGTGCTCTCCCCCTACCCATTTTAACCACGAGCTTAATCAAGGCACGGTGTTTGAAATTAGAATAGGTCTTGAGACGCTTAATTTCGGTTGTTTTCTTCTTTTTAATATTACTAGCAAATATACTCATGCATTGCACGGATGACTTGGAGATAGAGATAGAGGTAGAGGTAGAGATAGAGATAGAGAACAGATAGTGATGGATTGTCTCAGTATTGTAGGATTTGTAGGCCTTCTGACAAGCTACGCGCATTTGATATAGATGAATAGTTGTCGAGTACAAGCAAGTATCAAAACGAGATCTTATCACTACAAGAATGTTGTTGATACATGACATTCATAATTGGCCACGATGTACCCAAAAATGGTCATAAAAGGACATCCGTGATAGAATTTTAGTCTGTCATGTATCAAGCGTCATGAATCCACTCACCTGATAGAAACCTGAAATGGTCATAGATGCGCACTATCCATGGCTTTTTATGACTGTCATAGAATCCCTAAGGGCATATGTGAGTGTTTATATTTTGGCCATCCTAAGGGCATCTTCAACAATATCCTAATTCTTTTCTCGTTAATATGTAGTTATCGGGAGAGTTGCCGCAGCTCAACCCTAATATCACTAGTGGAGGGACGGGCTTTACTTCCGGTGGAGAATCTCCTCTAGTCCCGGTTCCCCACCCGGGAGCAAGCATCCGGGACTAAAGGACCCTTTAGTCACCAACCGGGACTAAAGGTCCTCCTAGCTTTAACAAAAATAATGCCTCCCACCGCTGCGTCCCGTGAGATTCGAACCCAAGACCTCATGCATTGCCTCGCGCGTAGCTTACCAGCCCACCTACACAACACATCTAACAATGGATGGGATGCTTCCCTTTTGAACTAACCCATCGGGGGACCTTTAGTCCCGGTTGGTGTTACCAATCGGGACTAAAGGTTGGAGGACTTTTAGTCTCGGTTGGTGGCTCCAACCGGGAGTAAAGGTCCACCTTTAGTCTCGGTTGGTGTCTCCAACCGGGACTAAAGGTCTCCTGCCACTGTGCCGAGCGCAGTAGCCGTTGGGCAGGGACCTTTAGTCCCGGTTGGAGACACCAACTGGGACTAAAGGTTTCTCTAGTCCCGGGCGCAAAAAATGCCGAGACTAGAGCCTATTTTGGCCTCGGGTGAAAGATCTGTTCTCTACTAGTGTATGTCTCTCTTAATACATACCCACTGACATGTCAAGACCACATGTCATTGGCCTCTCTCAGGCAGATGGTTGGGTTTGGTGCGGTAGTGTATTTGGGTGGAACTCCTCCTTTATTGATGGGAAAAGAGGAGATGAGGTTTATTGGTGACTGCAAAAAAAGTTGGGGATATGGAAGTTGTCATGACCTGATCGTGCACTTTGGAATAACACATGCCTCATGAGCATAATGTGCACTTAAAAAGTCCTGTTTCAAAACATGCATATCAATTTCTGCACTTTCTTGTCTCTATCAACATTTATCGAACAGTCTGACATCACTCGACGAGCAGACTGTTAAGACCTCGACAAACTTGACAGGTCTGCACACTTTTGCATACCATATCACTATCGGACAGTCTTATAGATCACAACCATGCACCAAATGGTGAGTTGTCAAACTCTAAAGCCCCCTAGGCCCTCAGGTCAGTACACCTAGCTACCCATCACGAAACCACCCACATCACTACACCAGTCCCCCCTCTCCACTCTCTCATCTCCCTCATTCTTTTGAACAAGGACAAGAGAAAGAACAGAGAAGAGAGAAGAGGAGAAGGGAGAAGAGAGGAGAAGGAGATGAGGAAGAGAAAGAAGGGGAAAGTCCACCGCCGCGCTAGAGCCCTACCGGAGGAGCACGCTGGTGAAAGATCCTAATATGGCTAGAGGGAGGGTGAATAGCCTATTTAAAAATCTATAAATCAACTAAAGCAATTTGATTATTATAACAAATAGCGAAATGCAAACTTGCTCTAGCACTACAAGGGTTGCAAGCCACCTATCCAACAATTCTAGTTGCTATGATCACTAAACACATAATTTACTATTTCACTACTCACTAAGAGTTCTCACACTTGCTACACTAAAGAGCTCCACTAGATGAACTTAAACTACAAAGCAAGCTCTCAATTCTAGTTACACTAAAGAGCTTGCTACAACTAGTTTGCAAGAATATAAATGAGTGAGTAGGGTGATTATACCGTCGTGTAGAGGAGTGAACCAATCACAAGATGAATATTAAATCAATCACCTGGAGAATACCAGAGGGCAAGAGACAACCAATTTTCTCCCGAGGTTCACGTGCTTGCCGGCACGCTAGTCCCCGTTGTGTCGACCAACACTTGGTGGTTTGGCGGCTAAGAGGTGTTGCACAAACATCGTCCATACAATTGGACACCGCAAAAACCTACCCACAAGTGAGGTAACTCAATGACACGAGTAATTCACTAGAGTTAACTTTCGGTGCTCCATCGGGGAAGGCACAAAACCCCTCACAATCACCACGATCGGAGCCGGAGACAATCACCAACCTCCGCTCGACGATCCTTACTGCTCTAAGCCATCTAGGTGGCGGCAACCACCAAGAGAAACAAGTGAATCCCACAGTGAAACACAAATACCATGTGCCTCTAGATGCAATCACTCAAGCAATGCACTTGGATTCTCTCCCAATCTCACAATGATGATGGATCAATGATGGAGATGAGTGAGAGGGCTTTGGCTAAGATCACAAGATTGCTATGTCAATGTAAATGGCCAAGAGGGTGAGCTTGAGCCGGCCATGGAGCTTAAATAGAAGCTCCCACGAAATAGAGCCGTTGGCTCCTCAGTCCACTGAAAAACGGGACGACCGGACGCGCAGGTCAGATCGACCCGACGCTGGACCCCAGTGTCCGGTCGCACGATGTGTGCCACGTGTCCCCTGCTTCAAATGCTGATCGCCCGATCTCAATGGTCATTAGTACATTTAAGTTGTGATCGGATGCGCTGCTTCGAAGTGACCGGACGTAGGACCCCTAGCGTTCGGTCATTTCTTGTAAGGTACCAGTCATGACCGGACGCGTCCGGTCACCACCGATCGGACACACCCAGCGTCCGATTACTTACTGTCTCCTCTGTGCGCTGCCACATCAGCGTACGTCAGCATTGACCGGACGCGGACCCTGAGCGTCCGGTCACACTTTGCGCCAGCGTCCGGTCACAAGACCGAGATGCGCGCTCACTGCTGCTACTGACCGGATGTAGGACCCCAGCATCCGGTCACTATGTGACCAGCGTCCGGTCACTCTGTGAAACCTTGTCTTTTCTGTACAGGGCGCCGATGGCACCGTCGGACTATCCGCACTCTACGGGCGGATACTCCGCCGGTGGAGTTTCGAACCCTTGCTCAAATGTGCCAACCACCAAGTGTATCACCTTGTGCACATGTGTGTTAGCATATTTTCACAAACATTTTCAATGGTGTTAGCACTCCACTAGATCCTAAATGTATATGCAATGAGTTAGAGCATCTAGTGGCACTTTGATAACCGCATTACACTATGAGTTTCACCCCTCTTAATAGTACGTCTATCAAACCTAAATGTGATCACACTCGCTAAGTGTCTTGATCACCAAAACAAAATGGCTCCTACCACTTATACCTTTGTCTTGAGCCTTTTGTTTTTCTCTTTCTTCTTTTCAAGTCCAAGCACTTGATCATCACCATTCCATCACCATCATCATCATGCCATGATCTTCATTTGCTTCACCACTTGGAATATGCCACCTATCTCATAATCACTTAGATAAACTAGGTTAGCACTTAGGGTTTCATCAATTCACCAAAACCAAACTAGAGCTTTCAATCTTCCCCTTTTTGGTAATTGATGGCAACCCTTACACAAAGATATGAATTGAAGTTTAATTGAATCCATGTTGCTTGCCCAAGCATTTTTAACATGTGTAAAAGAATATGAAAAGTTTCATGAACCTCAAATGGTAGCAATTGCTCCCCCTACATATGTGCTAAGAGTTTGGATTATAGCTTACACATATGCTTAGGTAGGTAATATAGGAGACAATGTCTACCAAATGATGCTAAGGTATAAAAGATGGACCTTTGAAGCGTGATACCAATCGGAGTGCACCAATATACCATCCTTAGCACCATTAGTAACTAGACATACACAAAAACTAGAATACCCCGTGAGATCAACATTAGAAGTAAGAGTCTAGTTTTCATAAAAGGAACATAAGTCTAGTTACTTAACCTATGCATGCTAGTTTTTTATTTCATCATTCACAACTACATCTAGCATACACTACACAAGCATGGATATTGAAATTTAAGACTTATGCTATGCAAGCAAATATATAAACTGCACATTCAAAATGCAACATACAAGTTTATGAGCTTGCTCCCCCTACTTGTGTGCAATTTTGATTGATTGATCCCCTTCTAATGTTATTTCATTTATTTGCTCCCCCTATCTTACTATCTTTGTGAATTTCTCTTTCCCTTTGTCAACAATTAGCATAAAAAGGTGAGCTCAAATTTTAGATAGGTTGGGGTAAAACCATATGAAGTGAGGATTATTTTCTC